AGCACGTTGTTGAAAAGTCTCGTGATGTCGAGTGGCACTATATAATGTCACTGTTAAATTCACTATCTAAAAGCAAAAGAAAAAGTATGAAGACTACCGCAGGCGTCAATATTCTGCAACACAGTCATGTAAGCCTGAATTATCATCAAAAGGTCCGATGGACGGCGAGGCGTCGATGGAAACGCTAAATTCTTATTGTGCAGAAATAATTAAGAATAACTAATAAGATACATACCAGGATCAACTGCCATGGCAAGTATGAGATCTACAAACTTATGTTCAATATGTTGGCTCAGATATTCTCTTGGAGCAAAGAAGTGTTCAGATATGAAAAGTTGGCGATATTGACTTATACCGGCACACAGCTCAACTGAAAAGCCAGTTATAGAAGTAATAATGTAGATGTGTGAGTACTATCTTTCTAATAAGTCTAGAGAACTTACTGAGAGTAGTATGTAATTTGTCTGGATAGGTGAGTGCTTGCCTATCAGCGCGATAACTTTCCTCCCCAGCAGGAGCAGGCTCTTTTTGTGCAGCGGCTGCATTCTTCCCACCCTTGCTGCGAAGCATTTGAGAGACAATCTGAGCTGCAATCTGAAATAAGATGTCTGATGTCGCACTAGTATAGGACTTAAGCCGCGACGATTTCCTTTTCTAGCAAAGCAAGATATGATAATTGTCATCTAAGGAGGACAACTGATGAAATCGCATAATCTCTGTCTGACAAAGCAAAGTAAGAATGAATCTTAACTTATAGAACTTACGGTACTAGGGGAAGTCTGTTCTGCAAGACGTAACTCGTACTCGCACAGAGCTCCCACGACATCAGTTATAGACTGGCATATATCATCCAGAATGGAATTACATAATGCAAGGGACTGAAACGTCTCGTCTTCTGATAGTTTACTTAAACTCATGGAACAATACCTTCTCAAGGATGTGATTCTTCTCTTCTGGACACATATCGTGAATTGCAGAACTAAAATGTCCACAAATCCTCGCAAAGCATAGCGCAAAGCGGGACTGTGATGGAAGTGTCAGACAACTCTTCCACTGCCGCTCCAAAGTTTTGATATAGAAGCTAAAAGCATGTTCAAAAGCGCAGAGATGTAACCTAGCAGAACACTCACCAGTAAACACTCAAATCACTGGTTTCCTTGAGCATTTCATCTTGCAGGTCGATCATTTTCAGATGAAACACATTGGTGTTCATGATAATAGCCAGCTTTCTGTTCTTTATTAGTAAAAAGGGTGATCTTGCCATACTTGTTCTCGCCTGAATATAGCAAAGGACATCAAAACAGTGAATTCCTGTTCTTCTTTTGAATGAAGAAAAAAAGATAAAAATAGGAACTAACAATATAAGCGCTAAACTTTTAAACCTTTTGATTAAGATACGTACGCAAAAATGGTGTGCTTAATACATTAAACTGCAATCAAATTTCCCTACCTGAAAACGAAACCAATCCAACCGCAACGCCCTCAAATCGGTATCCGAATTTATCGAGGAGATAGAAGATGCAAAGTCAGATAGGATGGCGGCTTCGTCTTCATTCAGGTCACCGATATTAGAGACCATTTCACGTGTCATAATAGCATCGTAACCATTGACATACTTAAACCGGAACTAGGTTATTGTAGTTTTGCAAAGAAAAGTGTGATCTTACCTTCAAATAGTACCGCTGAATCACGTCACTATACTTAACCACCAACTGGCGCAACTCAAGCATGTGGTGAAGGAGTTCAGGTAATTGGCGATCGACTAGCTCATCACACTGCTTGCTTCCCTTTTTGTTAGATGAAGGCCACTCACTCAAGTGGCGAAGAAGCCATAGAACCTAAAACGAGCATTTAAAAAGGACATAAAAGACTGACAATGAACCACCTATCAGAAACGCCAACTTAACTCATCTCTGCTGAAGGATAACGCCATCCATACGAAGAGCATCTTTGGACCAAGTAATCCTGGCTGGTCTTTAAGGAATAAACAGAGTTCACGGAGAGCAACACGCAAAAAACGTCGGCGGTCGGCATGGATAGAAGCGCTATACAGATCATTGTAAGATTGCGATGGGATAGCGCTAGATGTTCATGTCGACAAAGTAACTAAGGATTAACCTTTGTTGCAAAGCAATCGAAAAGCAATCCTTTACTTCCTGAGATCGTTTATGGTATCCTTTTATTGAATCGAAAAATTGTTGTATTTCGTGATGTGTTTGAAAGACCTACAAAGGCGCGATATTGTGATAGGTGGATAGAGCGGTGGAAATAGATCCTATAACCACCTCGTCTCGAAATAGCCGTATACATACTCCCATTTGCAAAGACATCTGCCATAAATGGAAAATAGTTTTGTCATTCAACAAAGAAGAATGGCAAATGGTGGTGCACACTAAAACAAAAGATTAATTTAATGCAAACAAATACCACAGAAAAAGAACTTACAAACAATCCAACGATCCATTACATCCAATGACAGGTACTCACAAGCAATCTAAATCAGATAGGGCACATAAATTTGAAGAACGACGAGAGGTTTCAGCATACCGTATCCGTTTGAGCAGCATAAAGGATTTGTTGCGGATTGGCTGTGAGTGATAAAATTTGCGCATTTCGCCAGGTATTAGCAGTGATATTGCGTCGAAGATACACAGGGGATAAGGAACAGAGCGCCGACGTAATCAACTGTAAAGGGAGATAAGATATCTGGAAAAGAAGATTACTGGAAGTTATCAGAAGGACACTAGCGATACTTTGACTTGACTGAATCACTCCAATAACTCTGAACACAAGGATTATTTTAACATTCAAAGACATATGTAAAAGAAAATGAAGAGACGTAGAAAATATAAAATTGACATTTTTCATTTTTTGAAAGTTGAATCGTAGTGGAAGGAGTACTGGTAGATAATTAACTGAATTGTTGACTGAATCTTCGTTCATTACGGAGAGGGAAAACTGCACAGGTAAGCGAGCTGTTCCGCAAATGTGAGTCATATCAAAAACTACTCAGTTTGAGATTTGTGCAAATATAATCATGAAAAAGCTGTGTAAGCAAGCGCATTTAATTAATACGTACCCGATTGAGAGGTCCCAAATCTTCGCTTAGTTTTCGTAGAGGATGTTCATAATCTAGGACCATCTGACCCAGACGAGGGAAAGATGACTCACTTTGTCCATGCATTAAATCGTAAGCAGCATTGAAAAGTCCTAAACGAAACTTCCGGATTATTTTGACGGGATATGCAAGTGCAAATCACAATATACTTTGAAAGGTACCTAAAACGACTTTACGATCATCCACGCGTGAGAGCAAAATCATAAGGCAGATAAGGTTCACGACCAAGTTGAGATAACCAGCTGTTAACTCATAGTTTAGGGACTAAATGGCATATTTAAGCCATATTTTGATTAAGTTATGCATTATAAGGTAGAAAAAGTCTTCAAAAATGAATAATATCAAAATATGACCTGATAATACTCACAATATCAAGCTGACACTGGCATGCGTCCATTGTAGTAAGGAGTTGCAATATATGATCCTTCAGCTCCATGAGATCAGAGAACGTGTAATAGTACAATCCCAGCGACTTTATTATGTCTTCTTTCATTGTATCAACATAATGGAAAGTGGACTGAAATAAGCAAACAAATACTATGGCAAGATGATTTTTTTTCCCAAAATGAGAAATGCTACCGTTAGTGTAACAATTTAATTTCATATCTTAATGTCATTTCAGAAAGCAAACCCAGTATCAATATGATATACTTTATCTATATTCCAATTTTTGAACATCAAAACATGACTCGTCAACACTGCTGATAAGCTAAGGGAAAATTTATTTTAAAAAAAAGAACCGCAGCAAGAATGCTTAAAAGAAAATTATGAGCCGATAAAATGAGAGTTGCGTAACTGGCACCCTGCACGCAATTTTATGGAAAAATTTGTTAACCCACCGTGTTCATTCTGGCATCCACAACAGGGAATTTTCGTGCAACATGCTTTATAGCATTTTCCATATGTTTATCAGCAAGAAAAGCTGGCTTTGATTTGGAATCTATATGCGAACATGGAAGAAGAAAAACATGAGACTGAGAACGAAAAAAACACTTACCAGCACATGCTTTCTTGATATTGTAAATCCTGGTCAACATACCAACAGCGCGATCATTTAAAATCACAAGTTTTTCTGCAATCTTTAACTGACTGGATTCCATTTTGAAAGCCATGACTAACAAAGAGGACTAATTCAGCCCTCGGTACAGAAGCTTCTCAACCAAATCTGAATTTATCGATTAATAATCAGAAGTCAATATATTCTACAAGTTGACAGTGGGGAAGAAAGAGAAAAATGAGGTATTAAGAATTAACAGGTTCAAATTCACGTTTCAATAGATGGACTTTATCCTACATTACTCTTTGAGCAAGAATACCCATCAGGCATGTTAATGCATCTATGTGCGAAAGCTCATTCCTTTTGTTTTCAATTTACCGAGAATAAAAACTAGCACACTAGCAGACGATAACAGACAGGAATTCCGTCATTATCTCACTTTTGTTAAAATTTCATATGTGTTTCAAGTTTCACTTGGTTACCACATAAAAGCTTATAATCATACACATACTGCACTCGAAAACACTCGAAGAACTTCCATTCTAAAAATTGTTGAAGACAAATTTAGGACATCAACTGACTCTTGAGTTTCCTACAATCTCATAAAAAATGTGCACGGAAGCAACTATTGCGCTCTATCGCTAGCCTAAAGGACCATAAGTGCTTCGTAGATGTAGACCTCGGGACGAAGGATACAGTACCAGCAACTTCGCCATAAATTGTTATCGAATGCCGGTGGCCCACAAAGTTCCTGATTACTTTGAGATTTTTTTGCTGTTCATTCTAATCTGAATTTAAGTACAAGTGGCTTTGTTGAATTACCTCTTATCGTCTACATTTATTTTCATGTATTTGGAGTTCTCCTCATAGCAAATCATTAATGTGAAATAGTCTTATTTTTGCTGAGTTTTAGCTCACTGTTTGGTCTGTCGTATGTCATTAGTTATCAGTAGAGCGATCTAATTTTGATTATAGGTAATATGCCTCCAAAGGCATCGAAAAAGGCTGAACCTAAGGGAGGCAAGGCTCCCGCAGGAAAAAAGAAGGAGGGATCTGGAAAGGCCAAAAAGAAGAAGTGGTCTAAGGGAAAAGTGAGAGATAAGCTCAACAACATGGTTTTGTTCGATCAAGCCACATACGACAAGTTGTACAAGGAGGTAACAGTAATTTTTTTCATTCAAATTTGTTGGAGTTGTGAGACTAGTAAAGGGAATGATTGCGAGATAGACCTATGTTTAGGCAACTTATAAGCTTTGAGCTACCCATTTTAAACAACTGGCGAGGCTTGGTGACAAATTCTGCACTCTTTCCTTATGATTTGTGGATCAATAGTTTTACTTCATCCCCCGGATGCCGTAATCTTCCGTGCTTGTTGAATGAGAAGACCTAATCTGAAGAAAAGGACCTACTAAAGTTTACAAAATTTCGTCCAGTGCAAAATTAATCTTTTTCTTGTAATTGCAAGCAACCCTAGAGGTATGTCCTTGCATAATTCGCAAAAGCTTAATGAAGATAGGGTTTGGGGTCAGTATTTACATGGGTAGGCTTTTGAGATCGAAATCTGATAAGTGAGCGATAGACCAGTGCTGGAACGATCTGTGTCATAGGAAGAAGAAAATTTGCTGACAAAGTTCAAACTGCTATTCGAGTTTACGTGCATACCAAAAGGTGTGCTTTATTGGTTTTTGAGAATTATTGCTTCTTTTTAGCGCTTGATGGCGGATGTTTTAGCGTTATTTTGTAGACTTGTTCTATATTTGTGGTTTCAGGTGCGTAGAATGTGGTGGATCAAATTATATGATCTTTTTATTTGTAGATTTTTCCCTTTGTTTCCAAATGAGAGAAGAATATTTGTTCGACGCACCAGACCCCTTGCGATCTTTTTTGTTTACAAGCTAGATTCGGTGCATCCACTCGTTGATCAACTGTCTGTTGATTACTTACTATAACATTACTTAGCACGAGCTGGGTTCTATCCAGCGCATGGTTCTTTTCTATGCGTTACGTTGTTTTTTCGAATCCCGCGGTCAGTTCTCCAGTACAACTTTTTTTCGTGAAATGGTTCTTTAATGTCTAATTTCTTTCTCCTCATCTGGGTTTCCAATTACCACTTATTGGAGGTAGCTCAGTAACGACGTTTAAATTATACGAAATGTAATTTTATCAAATCATTAACCCTTGGCTTTTCAAAATCTAAAATATGCAAAATACAACTTCATATGTTTCGATTGCAAATTCAATTCACAGTGCTGTTTTAGGTCATCACCTACAAGTTGATCACACCGTCAGTGGTATCCGAGCGTCTGAAGGTACGGGCATCTTTGGCAAAAGCTGGACTACGTGAGCTGCAAGCTAAGGGTCTTGTGAAGTGCATTGTCCATCACGGAGGTCAAATTGTTTACACACGAGCCACCAAGGAGGCCGATGTCATTGTTGAGTAAATGTTGTTATTGTTACATACATGGTCATTACATGAATATAAATGACTGTTTGTTGAATAGAAGAAATACCTCATTTTGGTCATAGTATTTTGAAGATTT